TACACTGAGAATAATAATAATAATAATGATTTGAGCACCAAATCAGCATATTAGAATGATTTCTGATGGATCACGTGACACTGAAGACTGGAGTAAAGATGCAGAAAATTCAGCTTTGACATCACGGGAATACATGACATTTTAAAATATACTAAAATAGAAAACAGTCATTTTAAATAGTAATATTTCACAATATTACTGCCTTTACCATATTTTTGATCAAATAAATGAAGACACAAGAGACTTCTTTCAAAAACAAAAAAATCTTAAATTCATAAATTAAAAAACACTAGGGAAGTCACATTTGTGTATATATATATATATATATATATACAGTGGGTACGGAAAGAAAGTATTCAGACCCCCTTAAATTTTGGGGAGAAAGGTATTTTAATAATGTAAATTTACGTTTTTCGAACCACCAAGCATGAGAGCATGTTCTAGTACACCCCCAAAACAAAATCAAGACTTTGTAAAAGAGCATAATAGGACCCCTTTAATATATTTTAGGTTTTAGGACTACAAACATCTCTATACTCACTACAGACTACTGTTACACTATCAAAAGCTGCCAAATGGCCAATGGTCAAATGAATGTAAATACAAAGTCTAATTGAAAAACAAAGAACAGGTGAACAAGTTCTTTTGACCGATCTTTTCAGTAGTTAATGAACATCCCTTCTCAGGCACACGGCTGCAGACAGTGAAACTACCAGCTGAGAAAACCACTTCCTGCTGTTTTGGAGGGAAGGACTACAGTGATCTCTACGTCACCTCAGCGTGTATCGACCTGGATGCAGATGCACTGGCCAAGCAACCTGAAGCTGGCTGCACATTTAAGGTAGACGTCTTATTTCATATCTTGCTCATGGTTGCATGACATGACCTCTGACACATTATATGCTCCATTCTTACCTCAGGTGTCTGGTTTAGGAGTGAAGGGCATCCCACCATACTCATACACTGGATGAAAACCCAGGAAAAAGTGATGATGTAAGCGTCGTGACCATTTTGCAGTCACGATACAACAGTGTTCCAATCGTGCAATCAGTGATACATATAATATTAGATACTGAAAGCTTACCTCATTTCAGATTATATCCTCATTTCAGATGATTTCCAGAATATTAGACATTAGAAGCAGTTTGTCTAGATGACTAAATGAAAGATGTAATTATATGTGAAATTTTATGCATTTTAATCCTGTATACATTAACTACACAAAGTGTGACTGCGCAAATTTTTGAAAATGATTTCAAATGATAAATTTTTGGAGATTTTTAGGTAATTATGTAATTTAGGTAACTTGTAATGTATATTAACCACAAATGTGATGTTTGGCTGTGCTGCTGAAGTGAGTCAGACAACAATGATTGTAAAGAATTATGCAATTATGATTGTGAATAAAGATTTTTTTAATTCTCTTGCAAGTCAAAATGGCACACCGTTCACTATTTTACATCCATGATCTGTATTTTAGAGTAAAACTCTATTCAGTGGGAAAATGTAGGGCAGGACTTGATTTTACTGGGAACTGATTGGATCGTAAAAAGTAGGTCCAGAATGGTGGCTGGAAGGAAGAGGCTGAAAAGAAAGAGGGATTTGTGATGTCAGCTAAAAAGTCATTTCAGACCATGCATTATGAGGGGTGAATAGGCTCGGTTTCATGTTGACTTTAAGGATACTAAGTAAACCTACAGGTTGTGGTGCAAAGGTTTTGTTTGCTGTATTTGTGAATCTTCCAGCATGAGCTGAAATAAGAAAAAAGTTTCACATTTAAATGATCTCTGGAATTCTAGACTGTTTTTTTCAAGGGTTTAAATTAGATGTTTAGGATAAATAATTCAAACAAGCTCCACCACCAAATAAATATATTTTGTGTAGTCATCATTCCTTCACTCAAACAGTGACACAAACTGTACTACATAATAAGACAAGGTTCAAAGTTTATTATAAGCCCGGAGGGCAATTTTTTGTGCAGCATAAAATTTGTAAGCATATCATACAAAACACACAAACAAAATGCAAACACAACATTCTGACATCCTACAAATTTAAAAGCCTTACAGAAGTGGGAATAAAAAATGTCTATACTGATTGCTTTTAAGTTTAGGCATACTATAACGTATACCAGAAGGAAGCATTTTAAACTCATGGAACAGTGGATGAGAACAATCTGCAAGAATAGCTCTAGCTTTCTGTAAAACAAACTGATCAAAGCTATAACCCAGTCTGCTTAATGCCGATAATCTTACTACCTTGATTGACAATGCCATTCAAAGAGTTCCGATGTTTAACATTTACATTACCATACCAACAGCATATAGAGAAGCAAAGTACCGATTCAATAAAAGATTTATAATACATGCATTGTAAAAAAAATTCCGTAAAATTTACGGTAAAAAAACGGCAGCTGTGGTTGCCGGAATTTTACCGTAAAAAATATGGTAGCAACTTTTAGGTTTTACGGTTTTAACTTAAATTTACAGTTAAATACCGTCATTTTATTAAAGGGGTCATATGATGCTTTTTTAAAGATCATTATTTTGTGTATTTGGTGTAACAGAATATGTTGACATGCTTTAATGTTCAAAAAACATGAGTATTGAAACGTAATTTCTTATCAATGATAAGCCCAAGGTACTTGTAACTGCTGGCCCATTCCACCATTTGACATTTTACTCTAGTTGGTTGAGGAGACGAAGGACTGGATCTAAAATCAATTACCATATCTTTGGTCTTTTTTATGTTTACTTGCAAGAAGGCACTGTCGCACCATGTCATAAAATCTTTCACCACTGGACCATGACAGTTCTCATCCCCGGTCAACAAACTAACAATAACAGTATCATCAGCGAATTTTAAAATGAACCTGTTTGTGTGTCTACTCACACAATCATTAGTATATAAAATGTAGAGCAAGCGTGAGGGAGGGGAGAACCTGTGGACGTAATAAGGGTGTCTGAAAAGGTGCTGTTTACTCTCACTCTCTGCATTCTATCACTTAAAAAATCTAATAACCACCCCACTATCTTAAATTCTAATATAAACTCTGAAATTAATTTCTTTACTAAAACATGGGGCTGAATAGTATTAAAAACTGGATGAGGCATCCTCAACTCCTCTTCAGGCCTGGTAAGCAAACTGCAACGGATCTAAAAGACTTTGAGTTTTCAATAAAAGTTCATCCCTGACAAATTTCTCAAAACATTTAATCACCAGCAACAGGTCTAAAATCATTTAGAGTCTTAGGATAACTTGTCTTCCCTACAGGCACAATTATGGCTTTTTTCCACAACTTTTTGAAGATAAAGCGACTTTTGGAATATATTATAAAAAACAGGACCTAGCTGATCCGCACACGTCTTTTGTAAACGTCCCCCAATCTTATCTGGTCCAGAGGATTTTCCCACCTTGCTCTTTTTAAAAACGTTTATAACATCCTGCTGATTGAAAAATGTACACTCCATATTACACAGTCTCATTCCTAAGCACATTCATTTCACTAGTAAAATCCTCCACATCAAATCTAGTATAAAAAGTATTAAATTCTTGTGCCAGCTGTATATCGGATTGATAACCAACCAATTTTATGGGGGCATTTCATTTACTCTTGGATCCAGTTATAGTATGCATACTCTCCCAGGCAGAGCCAAGTCTTCCTCTAAGATCCCCCTCTACTTTCTCCTTGTACTTATTTTTAGCCCTCCTAATTTCACACTTTATTTGTTTTTGCAAATCATGCTTCCTTTCCAAGTCACCTGCATGAAATGCCTTGTTTCTTTCAATCATAAGAGACTTTATAGATTTAGTTATCCATGGCCTTTGTATTAGCAAAAGTTTGCACAGTTTTTTGAGGGATAAGCATATCCTCACAAAAATGTATGTAACTACTTACAACATCTGTTAATTCATCAATCAACAATATCATCATTGAATATCATCAATTCATCAACAAGCAATAAAGAACAGGTGCGAATAAAGACATTTAATATTTTGGATGATATGCATTTCATTGCAGTTTAATATTTACCCAATAATAATAGAAATGACCATTGTGCTTTAGTGTTAATTCATACATGGTGTTCTTTTGCATATTCACTTGCATTTCATTCCTCTGAAACAAGTACAGTCTTGAGTTTGTTTGCCAATGCTCCAAAATGGCAATGTTTGCAAACAGTTTAAAATAACCTCTGCCAAAGGAAGCGAATTAGCTGTGTTAGCGAAAACTACAAATTGTCGTAGAACTGTTTGTTAAGGGTAGAACATTTTATGTTACATTTTATGACAAGAAATGGTGTTTTTAATAAAGAAATGTAATATTAACTTTTTGGGAAAACTGAAACTCTTGAGTCTTATGTTCACCAAGGCTGCATATAAAACAGTAGTAATGCTATTACAATTACTGATTTCTATTTTTAAATAAAAATCATAGATGCATAGATGAATTTTCAGCTTCCATTAGTTCAGTCTTCAGTGTCACATGAACCTTCAGAAATCATTCTAATTCTGATCTGGTACTCAAGAAACTTTTCTTATTATTATCAATGTTGAAAACAGTTGTGCTGCATGATATGTTTGTGGGAACTGATACTTTTTCAGGATTCTGGTGAATAGCTTTTAATCTTTTAAGTTGTTGCAGTTTTTACAATTTAATGCATTCCTATTGAATAAAATAATCGATTTCATTGATTTCTTTCAACAAAAAAAAAATCTTAATCTAAACTTTCTTGAGAAATTATTGGGAGTATTTGCTGGAAAATGGCAATAGAGAGTCTGTGTTTTATGCTGAGGTGAATTTGTAGACCTCTCTCTTCTTAAGATGCAGAAAATATTCCCATACACAAGACTTACAATCTACAGGAACTGAAAGAAAACTTGGGAGGGACCCATTGAATATGGATGAGCAATTGATAATGACCCAACCAGAGGGTGTTGTCTAAACTACATATAAAAACAGTGCAATCAGAATGCTGTGATTGTCAAACGCAAACAGGACACAAATATGTATGGTATGATGTGATAATACTTACCTAGACCGTCTGCTTGGATAGCTGTAAACCACAAAACATCTCTTTTTCCCCCTCCCAGGGCTTTGTACCACTGAAAAATTGGACAAGAACAAGAAAATGGCTGAAATGGAGAGTCTAGCTGACTGGATGGCTAACCTTAATGAGAAATTTACAAAAATCCCCTTGAGCCAACTTGCTATTCCAGGTAAGTAATGTGAATATTAACAACAGCTGCCAGACTATTATGTAAAGCTGTCAGATATGAATAACCATCTTCCTACTTTTTGCTAATAGATTAATTCAATAGCATTTAGGCATGTGAATTCACACTTGGCGTCTTTTTTGACAAGAAAAAGTTGACGAGTGCTTTTTTAGTCAAATAAAAAGCTGGCAGCGTTTTGGTTACAAATAGCAGCCGAGGGCGTCTTTTGTTGCTATAACAACAGCTGCAACAGTAGCCTAGCGCTATATGCTGCAGGAATGTCGAGAAAGAGTAAAAAGTTGGTTCTTGCGTTGCCTTTAACGGGGAGGAGAATGTCGGTTCACAACGATGTTTGTGGGTGCGCGACAATATACGGGGAAGGAAACAGTATGGTGCTTACAACAATTTAGTCCAGGAGCTCCGGTTGAATGATGCACGGTTTGTGGCATATTTTAGACTAAGTTAGATACGGTTTTGTGCTCATATCATACAACTCCTTGTGCTCCAAAACTAGTACGAACTAATCGACCGGCTATCTTTTCCATTTTTCTTGTTTTTTTTTGTTATGGAAACGACTTGCCACTCGCTTGTCATTGGTCAGCTGTCAAAAAGGCTCTTGACTTAGGGCGGTTTTTTTTCCAGAAAAGTTTAACTTTTTTCAACTTGAAAAGACGCTATGCATTCACTGTATACATATCAAAATCAAACACAAATTTTCCAGACTATCCATCAAACTTACATTATATTAGCGTATCATCACATACAACAAACATGAAGTGAACATAGGATGCTATGTGACTTGTATAGAAGCAAAAACTGAAACAGAACGAACATTTCTTTTAGGGAGCCATGATGCTATGGCATACAGCTTAGATATGGACTCTTCAGTACTGGAACCTAAAAAAATAAAGGCCTTGGACAAGATGTTCAGCACTTTCTTAAGGCCCATTGTCAAAAAATGGGGTACTGCCCAGGTAAAGTACCAATTAAAATACAGTAATCTCACAGTAAATGCTGTAATGTTTTCATGAGGTTCATGTTTTTCATATGATTGTCCAGGAAAAAAACATCTCTGAGCAGCTTGATGCGGGTATGCGATACTTTGATCTGAGGGTTGCTGGAAAGCCTGAATCTAGTGATTTATTCTTCTATCATGGACTATACACAACAATGACTGTGAAGGTTGTTACCCTGATTCATTTTCATGTTTTTCTTTTTACATTAATTGCATTCATAAGCTTAATGGAAAAACTCCATTGACAGCTAACCTTAATAACTTTGAATCACCACAGGAGGGAATGACAGAACTGGAGAAATGGTTAGGACAGCATACTAAGGAGGTTGTCATCCTTGCTTTCTCACATTTCAAAGAAATGTCAGCCAATCAACACACCGACCTGACCAACTTCCTCAAAGAGCACTTTAAAGCAAAACTCTGTCCTAAGCCTCAAGTGGTACATATCCTTAGCCATGACCTCAAAGCCATATCCTCAAAAACTGAGGGAAATAATTCATTCAGGGACCTCAGCATATGATACAAATGCTTCCAACAATGGTTTAATAACCATTAAAATGTATTTTTTCCAATTTATGTGAAGCCCTCACTCAAGGACTGCTGGGAAAGTGGCTACCAGGTCATCCTCTCTTATGACAACAGAAGTGTCGACGATCCTGTTTTGTGGCCTGGAATCGAGTACTGGTGGGCTGATCATTCAGACCCCAAGGAGGTCATTTCATATCTCAACAACCAGAAACAAAAGGCAAGACCAGGTGAGCTAAGAGATGCCAATGGCTTAAAATTAGTGCTGTCAAATGATTAATCACGATTAATCGCATCCAAAATAAAAGTTTTTGTTTACATAATATATGCGTGTGTACTGTGTATATTTATTATGTATATATAAACACACACACATGCATGTATATATTTAAGAAAAATATGTTTTGTTTATATATAAAATATTTATATTTATATATATAATATATTTACATTTAGTCATTTAGCGGATGCTTTTATCCAAAGCAACTTACAAATGAGGACAATGGAAGCAATCAAAATCAACAAGAGAGCAATGATATGCAAGTGCTATAACAAGTCTCAGTTAGCTTAACGCAGTACACGTAGCAAGGTTTATTTTTTTTTATTATATAATAAATAAAAAGAAAACAGATAGAATAGAAAGAGAATAAAGCAAGCTAGTGTTAGAAGCCTTTTTTTGCTTTTGTTAATTGCATAATAAAGAAAAAGAAAACAAATAGATAGAATACAATAGATAGAAGCTAGTGTTTTTTTTTTTAAGAAAAACAAGCAGTTAGTAAATGAATACATTTACATTTAGTCATTTAGCAGACGCTTGAATAGAGTGCAAGTCTAAAAGGGGCAAAAAAACTAAAAGTTTTTTTTTTTTTTAAGAATAGAATTAGAATAGAGAGTGCTAGAGTAAGAGGGTCAAATAAAGATGGAAGAGATGTGTTTTTAGCCGATTTTTGAAGGCTAAGGACTCAGCTATGAGATGTGTTTTTAGCCGATTCTTGAAGGCTAAGGACTCAGCTGCTCGGATTGAGTTGGGCAGGTCATTCCACCAGGAGGGAACATTTAATTTAAAAGTCAGTGAAAGTGATTTTGTGCCTCTTTGGGATGGCACAATAAAGTGACGTTCACTTGCAGAACGCAAGCTTCTAGAGGGCACATAAGTCTGAAGTACTGAATTTAGGTAAAGGGGTGCAGAGCCAGTGGTGATATTTTATAAATATATGGTAATGATGTAATAAATAATGTAAATATTTTTAAAATATATGCATGTATGTTTGTGTATATTTATATATACATAATAAATATACACAGTACACACACATATATTATATAAACAAAAACTTTTGTTTTGGATGTGTTTAATCGTTTGACAGCACTACTTAAAATACCTTACATTTACTAAAAGGTCTGATTGGTTGAAACAAAATGCTCCAAGAAAAAAAAGTGTTATCCCTTACTCATTGATGCTCTTAATGTGTCCATTTGGTCAATAGCGGGATTGTTTGTTGCTGGTCTCAACCTGACTTTTGATGGGAATGACATGCTCCTGTACCTCACAAAGTCTTTAAAGGAGAAGACCATGACGGCCTACCCTCTATTGCTTGACTGGGTGAAGGAGCAACATTCAGGCTCTGACAAAGAAAGTGTTAACATCATTGCTGGAGATTTTGTGGGAGTGAATAGCTTTGCTCAGGATATCATTCAGCTCAACAATGCTGACAATGGTCCATGAGAGGGTCTTTTGAGTCAATATGGGATGTCCTTCAAACAGGATATGAAGCTTTCTGAGTATTTCTGTCATTTTGTTTAATTCATTTCTGATGACAGTGGTACATAGTTTATAAGTGAATATATGGTTGGTTATGGCAAAAAGTCTTTTTGAGCATTTAACATATTAAACATAATGTTTATTTTATTTGCATATCATTGCTCTTTTGTCGATTTTGATTGCTTCCATTGTTCTCATTTGTAAGTCGCTTTGGATAAAAGCGTCTGCTAAATGTCTAAATGTGAAATGTAAATGTAAACAAATAAACATTAAAATTCCTAAATAAATAAATCAAAATTCAAATGTGAGCCAGTGTTGTTTTGGGTCTCTTCAACAAAACGAAAAAAACAAATCGCACTTTTAGACGGTCCCTAACATTGTTGTCATCCAGATTCGAGAAACGGAAAGTGTCACGAGATCATGAAAAATCTTCCAAACTCTAACAAATTTATATTTCACCACTATAATGACCATGTTAAACACTCAGTGCACTTCTGTACATTAATTAACAAGGTGTTTCTGTTTGGCATCGCATGACAAAGAAAAACGCGGAAACAATGGTTATTTTTGGTTTCAGTGCCCGATGTGCGGTAGATGATGTTGCTACTGCGAGTAATACGAGTGTTTTAGATTAATTGTTCACAATTTAAAAACGTAACAAATGGAGGATGAAGAAAGGATATGCATCTCCAGCTGTTGCTCGGACTGGATGTCCGACATGCCCTCTGCTTTTTGGGACATACCGCTGTGGAATCTCGCTATACCGGGTACGTCGGCAAAGTCTGATTATTTCCATGTTTTAATTCTATTTTGCAATGAATTGATGGCCCTTTTACTGCTACTATTTAACAATTTCGACATCCGTTTACTGCTTTTCAGGAAGTCATGACACCATGACTTACTGTTTAGATGAGCGGTCGTCAGTACTGAAGTCTTCGCCGAGGCTGGTGCAAGTGTTGGACACTTTACTTCCCTGTATCGTTCGGCCCTGTATAATCAAATGGGCGACAACACAGGTATGACAGACGATGATGATGTGATATTGTGTTGTTCAAAAGTTGTATGAATTTATTCATTCAGTGGAACACAAAGGGTGGCATCAGTGACTAACAGACTCAATCACCTTCATTGCCCTTTCGTGCTATGACAGCAGTGAAAGGGTTAGTTCACCGGAAAATTCAATTTCTGTAATCGTTTACTAACCCTTTAGTTGTTACAAACCTGTATGACTTTCTTCTGTTGAACACCAAAGAGGATATCTGAAGAATGTTGGTAAATGGTAACTAAACAGTTTACGTTATGACGTCCATAATATGGAAAAAAATAATTTGGATGTCAATGGCTACCGTCAATTGTTTGGTTACGCACATTCTTCAAAATATCATCTTTTGTGTTCAGCAGAAGAAAGATTATACAGGTTGAAACATCTTGAGGGTGAGTAAATGATGACAGAATTTTTATTTTTGGGTGAACTAACCTTTGATTGGTGACTGAGTCATTCTGCCTCCTTTTGTGTTTCAAGTCAAGTCAAGTCTGCTTTATTGTCAATTCTTCCACATGTACAGCACATACACACAGAGAATTGAAATTGCGTTACTCTCAGACCCTTGGTGCATACAGATAACACTAACAGTAGAACATAAATACAGATAGATACAGATTAAATATAAAATACAACTATACAAATATACAAAAAATAGGTACTGTGTGACCACACATTAAGATTTCGTTCCCACGACTGATGACTTATTAATTCATGGTCACGTTTAAATAATTGATTTCCTTATTTTAGTTAAATTGTCACCACAATGTAGTAATTTGTGCCCTTGGTTTAATTTAGTAAAATCGTGACCACAATTTACATTAAACAATGGAACAAGTTCTTAATTCTTGGCCACAATATCTTTTTTTAATACTTTTTTATTAGACACTATATCTGCGTCTGAAATTGCATACTGCCTAGTAGGTACAGTGTTTGGTTTGAAAATGATTTCATGACCGTTAAAAAAGTTTGTTCGATATAGTATGAAATTGAATATGGGTCATATGAATGAAATTTAGTCATATTCGGACGCAGCATATGTCTCAGTAATCTCTCTATTATTTTGTTATTTCAGATCATACCCTCACTACGGCAGTGTTGGAAGCACAATTATCAGGTTATTCTGTCATATGATGACTCAGCTGCATCTGGATATGAGGAACTCTGGCCACAGTGTGAATATTGGTGGGCAAACACATCAGATCCAAGCCATGTCATATCCTACCTGGAGGAGAGGAAAGCAGAAGGAAGACCAGGTCGGTAATAATTAGAAAACAAGACAAATTAAGTTTGATGACAAACTTTGATGTTGGCTTGACAAAGCCTTGTCTAAAAGTTTGAAACAACTTTGAAAGGCTTGAAGTTGGAAGATTTTTCTCAGACAAGTCAGAGAAAACAATAAAATGTTGCAAATATGTTTTAGCATCTTGCTAGCATATTTTAGTATATTACAGGGGTGTCCAGACTAGGATTGTGCCGATAGACTATAGTAGCGTTTCCCAACAGGGGTGCCGTGTAAAAAATCATTTTTTAATATTTTTAAATTGCTAAAATGTTCAAATAAAAGCCTACATTAAAATCTGTCATATAAATTGGTCTCTTCATCAGAAATTAGCCTTCTGATTGCCACCATTGATGGACAATTTTTTTTTTATAATATTAAAAATATCTGTATGACATTATATTCTGCAGTTCTTCCCTGTTGTACCGAATATCTATACTTTTCAAATTATCATATCGATGTTAGAAATTCAAATATTGTGACAAAATTAATTTTGTAGGGTGCCACAAGTTTGTTAAAATTTCCAAAGGGTGCCGCGACTAAAAAAAGGTTGGGAAACACTGGACTATAGTATCGTGTATCGACCATAGTCAGAGATATCGCCTGTTGCTGATGCCTTTGACAAGATCAAGAAGATTATTGTTATTATTATTATTATTATTATCAGGATAGTATTATTATCTAATTAATATTAGGGCTTATTTGTTCCATCATATTTCTTTTTACGTGTTTTTACAGTGTTGCGCGTTATAACCAATCACACACAATTCCGTTGAGTTTATGATTGCAATGGCCAATCAGAGGCGTTCAGATGAGTCATCGCTGAAACAACGGAGTTTTGTTGTGCGCGACTAAAAACATATCATGTGTAGTTAATAGATTACACTAACATTAGGCTACTTTTAGCCTTACCCTGGAGTTGGTTCACTCTCTGGCTATGAAACTAGGTAACTAAATAATTAAATAAATTATCATGATAATATTGTGTATCGGCGATCTCACATGCTGACAATATGACTATGGTGCATATCGCACAACACTAGTCCAGACTCGGTCCTGGAGTGCCAGTGTCCTGCAGAGTTTAGCTCCAATTTGCCTCAACACACCTGCTTGGAAGTTTCTAGTATGCCTAGTAAGACCATGATTAGCTGGTTCAAGTGTGTTTAATTTGGATTGGCGCTAAACTCTGCAGGACATTGGCCCTCCAGGACCAAGTTTGGACACCCCTGGTATATTACTAACATGTTTCAAGCTTGATTTAACACAGGAGTCCTCAACTCTGGCCCTTGAGGTCCACTTTCCTGCAGAGTTTAGCTCCAACCCTAATCAAACAGGACCAGAGCTGAGAACCCCCGATTTAACATTTTGCTAGCATGAATTAACACATTACTAACATGTTTCAGCACGTTTCTATCATGATTCGTTAGAATGTTTCTTGCATGATTTAGAAACATTAATTGCTAGCATCAAGCTGGCAATTTACCACATTGCTATCCTGTTGCTATCATTTACATTAGGGCTGCACGATAAATCACATGCGATATTTAACGCGCATCTTTAGCATGTTTCAAGCATGATTACCACATTGCAGCTTAGCTTAAAAACTCTATTAGATTTATTGTATGAACGTTTTGTCCCCTCAATGAAAGTCTCTGGCATTTTTCATAGTTTTGATCATCTGGTTTTTGAAAATTGTAAGTCTGATCAGTTAGAAAAGATATAGCATAACAGTCTGAAGGTCATGCCTGAGTTTGATGGTTGTAGCTTAAAAGCTCTAGGACAAGTTACATTTAAAATGTTTGTCTCAGATGAAGAAGACGCCGTTAGGATGGAAAGAAAATATCTTTAATAAAAGGTTGTTTTCCCTAAATGATTGCCCTGAATATGTTTTCAGGTCAGTTTTTTGCTGCTGGTCTGAACCTAACTGAGGATGCCAAGTATGTTATTTCTCATCCATGCCAGTCATTACAAAGCATGACCTTGAGCTCCTATAGTCTGCTCCTGAACTGGGTCAAGCAGCAGTGCCCAGGCCCTGGTAAATCATGTCTTAACATCATCTGTACAGATTTTGTGGGGGCCTTCAGCAATGAATTCACCCAGCTGGTTATTGGACTCAATCAAACACTCTTAGAGACTTTACCCATGCATCTAACATAAATGACTTTACATACAAATGTAGCATATTTTTCACAGTTTATCTTGCACATTCTTGTTATTTTTAGTGGAAGCCTTGTTGTTTTTAATTTTTACATATCAATATTTTTGTAGTCTTTTATGACAGTCCCTAAAATGTGACTGGAAAAAAAATGTCTTGTGCAATGCTGCCATCTACAGGCAATCCATATTTAGGTTCTTGTTTGATACATGCCTCAAAATCATGTTACTTCCACTTTCATAGTTACATCAAACTTTCGAAATGTCAGAAAGCTAACTGATTTTTCTTGGATATTTGACAAAATGGAGAGGACAGATTCATATAATCAAAGACTAAGTGGCTCAACATATTATAGCATTACCTGTCCATTGAGTCACACTTAATATTAGTAACATCTAATGTCCTGTCATGACTTCATCTATTGTTGACACTCTGTTTGGCTTTCAGTCCATGTAGGTTACATGTATCTGTGGGGTCTAATTTTAGACGCCCCTTTGAATGCAC